CTTCATATTTTATCTGCTCTCTGAAGACGCGTTCCCACAACCTCATCTCTCCAAATCCAACCCGACAGCTCCCCCCAGGGAAGAGCGGGCTAATTTTATCCTCCCTCCTTCGCCCTGCCAGCCCCAGCCTGAGCTCTCGCTCGCGCCGCCCGCACCCTCTAATGCATCCGGACACGCGCCCCCGGCCCCCCCCGCATCCCACAGCCACAGGAGGGGCCGCTCTCCCCTGGCAGAGTGTCCAGCCCAGACACGGGGTGCCCGACTCTGCTCTGACTGTGGCTGAGCTGAGGCTCATCCCTGGTGGGGGTCCCAGGGGGACAGGGGCTGTGCTGGGTGCGGGGAGGACCACGCAGACTGGGAACGGGGCTGTGCTGTCAGCAGGAGTCAGTCCTGCCAGCACTGGGACTGCTACCCTGGCATGATCCAGCTTGGGACGTGTGCCAGTTCATGGCACCCAGTGCTCCCAGTCCCTGCTCCTGCCAGGGCTGGGTGTATGGAAGGGTTCAGCATCATGCTGAGGACCCATGCCCAGGGCTGCAGGGTGCTGCAGCACCCTGACACGGTCCTCTCCCCCTGCTTCCAGGTCTTCGGCCACGGCAAAGCCAACGGGGAGCCGACATGGGCCCTGCTGCTAACGGCCTGCATCTGCGAGATCGGGATCCTGATCGCCTCCCTGGACGAGGTGGCTCCCATCCTCTCCATGTAGGCAGCGTGCTGTCCCACCCGCACCTTCTCAAGCAGCGGGTGTCGCGTGCGGGTATCTGCTCCTCAGGGTGGGGGGACACACCTGCTGCCTTGACCCCAGTCCGGGAAGAGGGGGTCCTGCAGGGACTCCAGGGTCCCCTTCTTGGCCAGCATTGGGGACTGCCTGCTCCGCAGCCCTGCTCCCCTGTCCATCAGCGGGGCCTGCTCTGGCATTGACCACCAGTGGTCAGTGGGAGGTACCGAGGGCCCAGCTGCAACTCCAGTCCCTCACAGTGCACCCACTCAGCCCCATCTCTCTCCTGCAGGTTCTTCCTCATGTGCTACATGTTCGTCAACCTGGCGTGTGCTGTGCAGACGCTGCTGCGGACGCCCAACTGGCGGCCCCGCTTCCGCTACTACCACTGGTGAGCTGGGGCGGGACGAGGTGGGACAGGGACCTCCCAACACACCCCGGACCGGGGACCCCATGGCACCCTGACAGTGCTGTGCTCCCTGCAGGACCCTGTCCTTCCTGGGCATGAGCCTCTGCCTGGCACTGATGTTCATCTGCTCCTGGTACTACGCGCTGGTGGCCATGCTGATCGCCGGCCTCATCTACAAATACATCGAGTACCGCGGGTAAGGGTGGCCACGGCGCCACAGGCTCCGGACAGCCCCTCGGCGTGGGCTGCTCAGCTCCCTTGGGCTGCTCGTCCTGGGATGCTCCACGGTGCCGGGGTGGTTCTCTGTGGCTGGAACTGTGACCATCCCTTACATGCTGCTGGTTCCCACAGGGCGGAGAAGGAGTGGGGCGATGGGATCCGGGGGCTGTCCCTGAGCGCGGCCCGCTATGCCCTGCTGCGGCTGGAGGAAGGGCCCCCGCACACCAAGAACTGGAGGTGAGGCTGGGCGGGGGATGGCGATCTGGGGGTGCTGGGGCAGGGACTGGCTGGGAGCGGGCACTGACCGCAGGACTCTCCTTCCAGGCCACAGCTGCTGGTCCTGGTCCGCGGGGATCAGGAGCAGAACGTGGTGCACCCGCAGCTCCTGTCCTTCACATCGCAGCTCAAGGCTGGGAAGGGCCTCACCATTGTGGCCTCTGTGCTGGAGGGGACCTTCCTGGACAACCACCCACAGGCGCAGAGGGCGGAGGAGGTGAGAGCTGCCTGCAACAGGACGGGCACTGCCAGCAGCAGGTGCCCATGGTCCCCAGGTGCCCAGGGTCGTTCCTGCCCCGTGGCCAGGACTGGTGACCCCAGATGGCCCAGAGAGCCTTGGAGCAGCACTGGGCAGGGCCTGGAGACTCAATGCTTCACTAGTGCTTGGAGCACCGCAGGGATCTCCAGACCCCTCTCTCCCACCAAGAAACCAGAGACGCTGGCACCAGCCAGACACTGGTCCCAGTCTTGGCCAGCTGCTGCAGGGCTTGGCACAGCATGGCACAGCACGGCATGGTGCCTGGCCAGGGTCTGCTGTGCTGCTGGGCTGAGCAGACCCCACATCCTCAACTGTCCCCATCGTCTCTGTGGTCCTGGTGCCAGGCAGGGTGGGAGATGGGAGCATTTCCCTGCCAGAGGAAGAGCCCTCCCCACCCCCCACACCCGCCGGGCGGCACATTAATGAGATTAAGCCCTCGGAAGCAAACAGTTTCTCTCCCATGCAGACATGTTATAATTTCTCTGAGTAAATAACTCTAATTGCTGCTCCACCGCCCGTCAGAGCCCTGGCACAGGGACACCCTCAGCTCTGCACGGCACAGAGCCGTGTGCCAGCTCCGTGCACCACTGGGCATCACCCCCCTGGCCCGGAGCCACCGGCCTGCCATGGGGCACGGAGACCTGGGCACCCTGTGGGGACCCGCACCCCATAGCCTGCACCCCACACCCCACAACCTGCACTCTGCACCCTACAATCTACACCCTATACCTCACACTCTGCGCCCTGCACCCCACATTCTGTGCCCTGTACCCCTACAACCTGCACCCTGTACCCCACACCCCCCCACCTGGCCAGGGTGCCACTGCTGGTGCTGGTGGCTGCTGTGCCTGTGGCCTGTGCCCATTCCTGAGGTCTCTGACTTCCCTCTCCCTCATAGTCCATCCGGCGCCTGATGGAAGCAGAGAAGGTGAAGGGCTTTTGCCAGGTGGTGATCTCCTCCAACCTGCGGGATGGCATGTCCCACCTCATCCAGTCCAGTGGTCTGGGGGGCCTGCAGCACAACACGGTGCTGGTGGGCTGGCCCCGCAGCTGGCGCCAGAAGGAGGACCACCAGACCTGGAGGAATTTCATCGGTAGGCACCGCGGAGGGAAGCGCTGACGGGCTGGGGGGCTCCGAACCGCCCTGGCTGACGTGGCCCTTCCCCTCCCAGAGCTGGTGCGAGAGACCACGGCTGGGCACCTGGCCTTGCTGGTGGCCAAGAATGTTGCCATGTTCCCGGGCAACCAGGAGCGGTTCTCAGAGGGCCACATTGATGTCTGGTGGATTGTCCACGATGGGGGGATGCTGATGCTGCTGCCCTTCCTCCTACGGCAGCACAAGGTAGGCTGGGCCCTGCAGAGCAGGGCAGGGACTGGGGCAGGGGCTGGGGCCAGTGCTGTCCCAGTCAAACCGTGCCCATGACTCCTCCCTCCCTCATAGGTCTGGCGTAAGTGCAAGATGCGCATCTTCACGGTGGCACAGATGGATGACAACAGCATCCAGATGAAGAAGGACCTCACCACGTTCCTGTACCACCTGCGCATCACCGCAGAGGTGGAGGTGGTGGAGATGGTGAGTGCTGGCATAGGGTGCGTGCTGCAGTCAGGGATGCTGTGCATGGGAGAGCCAAACAGACCCTGCCACGGGAGGATATGGCACTAAGGGGGGGACACACACACCATGGGAACACGCAACTCCACAGTGGGACACAGAACTGTGGGAGAGCACAGCACCACAGGGACATGCTGGGCTGTGCTGGGAGCAGTCAGTGCAGCTCACCCTGCCCCACATTTCTCTGTTCCCCCCACAGCATGAGAGTGACATCTCTGCCTACACCTATGAGAAGACACTGGTGATGGAGCAGCGTTCCCAGATCCTCAAGCAAATGCACCTCACCAAGAATGAGCGTGAGCGGGAGGTGAGGCTGCAGGACAGGCTGGGCGGGCTGAGACCCCTGTGGTGGCTGTACTGCTGACTGAGCTGCCCTGCCAGGCACTGGGGCTGTAGGCTGCCCAGCCAAGCCTTCTTCTGCCCCACTCCCCTGGCTGATCCTGTCCTCCACAGATCCAGAGCATCACGGATGAGTCCCGTGGCTCCATCCGGCGCAAGAACCCGGCCAACACCCGCCTGCGCCTGAACGTCCCTGAAGAGCAGGCTGGTGATGGCGAGGAGAAGCCAGAGGAGGAGGTGAGGGGCTGCACTGAGACAGGGTCAGGCAGGCAGCTGGCCCCAGTCCCTGCCCATCATTCCCCTCTCCTTTCTGCAGGTCCAGCTCATCCATGACAAGAATGCCACCACCTTCTCCAGCAGCTCACAGTCCCCTGGTGATGAGGTAGAGGCAGCCCCCGAGAAGGTGCATCTCACCTGGACAAAGGAGAAGTCTGTCGCCGAGAAGAACAAGAGCAAGAGCCCTGTCAGCCCTGAGGGCATCAAGGACTTCTTCAACATGAAGCCGTACGGCCTCCCATGCTGCCACCCCATCCCACCCATGCCCTGTCCCCTGGTTGTCCCTGCCTACCCCAGCCAGATGGGTGCAGGCAAGGCCATGGCAGCACTAACTCAGTCCTTGCCCTGAGGAGAGGTTGGGCAGCCTGGGTGCCCTGAGTGCATCCCTGCAGAGGGGCTGGGGGGGAGGCAGTGAGGGGTCACTGTGCAGGTGACACAGAGGGATGGAATGCCTGGGCTGCATGTGCTGCAGGGACTTGGGGTGCACACCTGGCACTCACCTCTTCTCTCTCTCTCTCTCTCTCTCTCTCTCTCTCTCTCTCTCTCTCTCCATCTCTTTCTGTCTCCTGGCCCCATCGTGCTCCTGGCAGGGAGTGGGAGAACCTGTAAGTCTGGGTTTGGCTGGGTGCCGGGGCTGGGGGGGGTGTTGGGACGTGCTCGGGATGGGGAGCCATCGGGGCTGCCCCTGTGCAGGAGGGCGGTTCAGTGAGCCGTGACATCTGCCGTGCCAGACGGCTCACCCGGGTGGCACGCGGGGGCCGTGGCTGCCAGCCCCGTGCACCGCGCGCTGCCCGCGCCGCGCCCTCCCCGTCTGCCCTGTTACGGTGCCGGCAGCTCCTGTGAGCTGGAGCTCAGGCACCCACGGTGACACTCGCACTGTCTGCTCCTGCTCGCTCCCACACGGCTTGGCCCTGAGCAGCCATGGTGTGCTGCTGCCCATGGGCACCGTGTGTTGGCCCTGCGGCTCATGGCCACTGTTGAGGGCTCAGAGTAGCCAGCACCGTGCCCAGCAAAGCTTACTGGACCCCAAGCTTGTGCCACAGCCCAGCTTGGACCCCTCTGGGGCAGGAGGCCAGCCTGCCCTGTGGCCCCTCAGGCCCAGTGTGGGGATGGAGGCTGGCTGTGCCTGTCCCGTGCCCACACATGCTGTCACCCACAGGAACCAGTCCAACGTGAGGAGGATGCACACGGCTGTGAAGCTCAATGAGGTGATTGTGAAGAAGTCCCAGGACGCCAAGCTGGTCCTGCTGAACATGCCAGGACCACCCCGTAATCGGAAAGGGGATGAGAACTGTATCCTTCCTATGGGACCAGGCACCAAGACCCCTCTCTGCAGGAGGAGCTGGGGTCCGTGACTCCCCCAAAGGTGGTGGGTTTTGCAGACAAGTGCTGAGACACACAGGTCTAGTGCCTGAGCCAGGATCCCCCCACCGATCCAGCCCCTGGCTGGGTCCAGCAGGTGGTGTTGGCACCATCCTGCCCCTCTGGCAGCACCGTGATGGGTGATGGGGCCACATGACATTGCACCTGCACGCATGAGTGCAATGGCACATCACAGGGGCCCGACAGAGATCTGCAGGGCTCAGCTGTCTGCTGGCTCAGCCACCGTCCCCACTGTGTGGCACCAGCACAGGTGGGCTCCCCTGGCCCCTTGGATCAGGAGTTACCCCACCAGCTCCTKCCTCTGGTGTGGGGGTGTCGGTGCTGCAGGGCAGGGGC